AATCGGATAATGAGATGCATAAGCTTTCTCGTCAAAGGTGTTGAAACGATGCGAAGTCCCACGCTGTCTGAGAAGTTTTCATCGAAAGGTTTTAATCAAGAGGAAACGTGCACACAACCGCTCACTTAGCGTTATGTTCGATGTATTGTAATTAATATTTTAAGTGGCATCAATCGAACACAACAAAAGGTTTGTAATAACTTGACTGAGTTCCCACATGAAGTATTCGTAATTCATCTATTGATACGATGCAAGATTTTTTCTGAAACTTTAATTTCGCTCTGTTGATGAGTTTGTATTGAATTTTTATTTAATCATAACAATATTTAGTTTCTTTTTCACGAACGATTTAATACAAATTCTTGAATTTCTGAACATTGGAGTCAAGCCGAATTAGGAAATGGCAAGAGATACCAAGTCGGTTAGATGGAGGCGAAGTTGCGCTGCGCTTAGAAAGCTTTGCAATTCAGGGTATCCTGAAAAAGGATTATTTATTAATATCGTTTTCAAAATGAATTAAAATCGCCGTATTTTATTCTCTACACGGTGCTTGGTCCTAAATTATCAATCTTATTTTTTTACGGAAGCCAGATTGGATTTTGGAACAGTTTAATAGAGTTTATAATTCTAATTAGACAACTATATTAAGTCCGTGTGACGCCCCCCCCCCTTCCACTGTATCTCCCTATATCCCCTAACTACGAGTATTTAGATGTGGTGTCTCAAGTATAAAATAAAAATTGCAAAAAACTAGCATCTGTAGACCAGTGGTCGCCAGCCTTTTCAGTGTGTTGAGCTAGTTTGATAACTTTGGAATAAACAGACTAGCTATCTAGTCGTAAGCAATGTAAGCCAACTTAAATGAAATTAAACAAAGTTGAATGCGAGATACATGTGTTTATTTTACTAATACTAATGCATACTAATAAACTTAAATAAGCTAATAACTAATACATTCAATTCAAATTTTAAATTCAAATTCACAAGTTTATTCAAATTCAAATTCAAAAACCAATATAACTTACAAATTAAAAAAACAACCTTCAGTACAATTTAAATAAAAAAAGCTTCTAAAATACATGAGCTTGTATACTCTTGCTACCCTGAATAACCAAGATTGCAACAGAAATCTGAGCAAAGATGCTAGCATCAGATCTAGAACCAGCAAGTAACGGTATATGAATTGTGAAAATTCTGTATACTTTCGTAAAGGGTAAATGTCTGAATCTTGTCGTCACAAATCCTAAATTACGTGTCTGCAAAAACAAATCTAAAATTCATAACAATAGTACAGAAGCATACTAAAAAAACACTCAGAAGTATAGAGTACATAAAATATGAATATCTGAAATATGATAATATAGGGATATTTCGAGTAAGGTCAAACTATGTTATTCAAACAATAAAAGTTTTGCGTGAAGGTTAAGCATAGAAACAAGAGTACTACAATTTACTACAAAAGAATTTACTACAAAAGAATAGACACCTAAGCTATAAGCTTGTGTGTGTCATACAATATACAAATTCAATGCATGGCTAATGGTTATAAGGTATATTATGAGCAAACGTATATAAAAAAAGAAATAAAAAAAAACATTAGATAGAAGCGAAATTACTGAGTTGAGTCAAGCTACGGTCGATGCAAGCAGTTCATCTTAAATAACTTTGACATTATTTAAGATGAACTTCTTAATACTTTTTTTGAAACTATACTTCGAGAGGATTTTATATTCTAGGGGTAATTTATTATACAACCTAATACCATCAAACTTTATGCATTTTTGGCAAACAGATTTATTCACTATTTTCAATGTAAACAAATCTGCAACTTGACCTACATGGGATACGAAAAATAGTCCTGACGATATAATTTTGCGTGGTTTGTAGTACTAGTGTATGCGGCTCCCCAAATACTTATCCCGTAAGTTAGTAGAGACCCCACAAACGAGTTATATATTGAGAGAAGACTCTTTCTGCTTAAAATATTCCTAAGAATAAAAAACTTAGGAATAATTCTCCTTAATTTCGATGCCAAAAGCTCGGCATGACTCTGCCATTTTAAATTACTGTCAACAGTGATTCCTAAGTATCTAATAACTTCAACTCTTTCGACAGTGTCAGCACTATCATTTATAATTAATGTTCGGTGGTGTAATGGCATGCTTACTTTGGTTGGAGAAAACGTTACATACTTAGTTTTAGAGATATTAAGTTTAAGTAAATTGTTATCCAACCAGCATTTGACTTTATTTAATGACAACTCGGCATTCCGTATTGCGTCATCCCATGAATGACCAGTGCAATCTAAAACAGTATCGTCTGCATATGATATCATTTTACAGTTGAAATTACATCGAAGTAGTTCATTTATGTATATGAGGAACAGTGTTGGTCCCAAAACCGTCCCCTGAGGCACACCTATTTTGATCTTTTGAATGTTGCTTAAATCTGACCCTACCTTAACTTGTTGGAATCGATCAGCCAAATAGTTCTCAAATAAGTTCAGAACTCCGCTACGCACTCCAACACTTTCTAGTTTCTTTAATAAAATTGTATGAGATACTGAATCGAAAGCCTTTTGAAGATCTAGGAAAACTGCAACAGTCTTATTTCCATCTTGAAAATTTTCAAGCACTTGTCCTGTAAGTTCTTGTAGAGATTGCTCTGTATTGCAATTTTTGCGGAACCCAAATTGACAGTTCGATATTATGTCATATTTCTCAAGAAAAGAACAAAGTCTGTTATTTAAACACTTCTCAAAAATCTTCCCAAATACATTGATAACTGAAATAGGTCTATAATACATACTACATAACTATATCAATTTCTACCAATCGTAGGTGTTTGAAAAATAAACAAAATTTTTCGTCAGCTACAATGGCATGTCACATCCGATTTAATAAAGGTAACTAAAGGTAAAAAAAGCAACGCGCTATTTTGAACAAAAACATATACAGATAAAAATTCATGTTCAATGAGAAGCCTGACACTCAGACTTACTGACAATAATTTTAATATTTGTAGTATAATAGTTTGATACCGCCAATCGAATAAAATTTTCCAAAAAGGTTGAACTAAATAACTTCACTTTCAAGGCAGCACGACATAAAACTGAATATTTATGTTTACCTACTGAAGGCCAGATACATTTTGAGACTAATGATTTTGAAGCTAAATCATTTTGAAAAGCCATTTCTGTCCCAGCCATGTCTTCGCTAAAATTATGTGCAACACAAGTTGCAAACTGTTAGATATCAATTTCCATGAAGGTTGAAACAACAAATTGCGCCACTATAGCAATTTTGTTGAAGCCCTTGAAACGATTTTTAAAGTTATCTTTCAAGTTAGAGACTATTTCTACACGATATTTACTGTGATATGATTCCAATGGGCTTTGAGATATCTTTTCTGAAAGAACAGAAAAATGCTTGGTATCGCCATCGATTAGGTTTTGTTCCCAAAGCTCCACCTTTTTGATAAACGCTTTTATATCAGAAATCATTTCTGCTAGTTGTGTCTCTCCCCTAAAGCTGCAAATTAAGTTCATTTAATTTTTCTGTAATATCCACAAGAAGACCAAAATCTTTAAGCCAGATTGAATTTTTCAGTTCGGGAATCTGCATCACGTTGTTTGAAAAATTGAACTATGGCAGATATGATATCATTACAACGTGTCAGCTCTCGTCCTCTACTTAACTATCTTCAGAGTGAAGTAGTTCCCCGTATTGACAGTCACTTTCATCGGCCAATGTTTTGAATAATCATCTTTGTAACGCTTGAGCTGTAATCTTGTTCACAATTTGTACTGACAATTTCATAACGTTGTCTAGTTTTAGAAGATGTCCACATAATGCTTGCTGATGGATAATGCAGTGGTAACCGAGAAACGGAGGAAAACTTTTATCTTTACGACATAACCCCACCATCACGACCCACCATAGCTCGAGCGCCATCGGCTGTCAAGCATACCATTTTCGATATTGGAATTTTCTCAGAAGAAATAATATTTTTAAAATAAGAAAACGAGTCATGTCCAGTAGTCTCTCCTTTTAGTGGAATAAACTTCAAAAGATCTTCGTTAATCGTAAAATCACTGAAAACCATCTTGACGAAAACGGCCATCTGAGAGGTGTCAACGACATCTGTATATTCATCCAGCTGCAGTGAAAAATAAGCATAGTTATCGAAATCATTTCTTAACTATAAAACTATATCAGTGCTCATTACTTCTATTCGTCTCATCACAAAACGCCTATTGTATCATTTCCCCCGTCTTCGTGAGGTTTCTCCTTTTGTGTAATTATCTGGGACACCCGGTATGATGCTTCAGTTGCAGCTTCACTTTTGACTATTGTTTTTAAAAACATAGTCTATTATCGAATTAACTGATCTTTTAATTGTTTTAGTTTTTCCGGTCTGGTTGCAGAACGTAATGGGAACGATTTATCAAAATTCGAATGTACAGTTTTATAGTGCTTCTCGATATTCTCTTTTTCAGCAACGGAAACAGATGTAGTACATAACAAACATAAATTTTTACCTTTAACTTCTGGAAACAAATATTGTTCTTCCCATTACGAATGGAAATGGTATGTCTTCATCTTCTTACTACTGCTCATGTTTTCAATTGCAGGCCGACTCTAACCCAACCGCCGGACTTTGTGTCGTTCATTTTTAAACTGAGCGCGCTCTCGCCGCGCCTTGCGTATTTATTCCGTTCAGAGTAATCGAGATCGTTCTCGAACAGATCGCTCACCGCAGTGTTGACGCTGCTTGTGTTTATTATGAGAATTTACAAAATTTACAGAAGCTTCAATGATTGTTACACCTTTTTAAAATACGGTGTGAGCCACCACAACTGCCTTTACGAGCTACCGGTAGCTCGCGTTCGACGGGTTGGCGACCACTTCTGTAGACTATGAACTCCACAAAAGATATCGCCAGTTCGGACAGAGTAAATATTTCCAATGAATCTTATAAACTAGTGAAAAATGATTTAGGTACGCAATTGTTGGAGGTGTACGCCTTGGAGATCCAGTTACACACAGAGCAGAAGAACCACAAGCTGCTGAAGGAGCTGTACGAAAGAAGCCTCAAAGTACGCTCAGCGATCCCTCACCCGTTGATAATGAGCGTTATAAGGGAGTGTGGAGGGAAGATGCACCTCAGATCGGGCGATTATGAAAAGGTACAGTAGTCATAACAATTCAAGCAAAATTTAGTAAAGTAAAAAAATGGTGTTGTTGCTGTTTACAAGTGATACTTCCTTAATAGACGCTTAGACGATACCATGCCTCTTTTGCATGGATGGTCTGTTTTCTACAAACATGCCAATAGATACTGTTCTCCTGAACTCTTCTGAATGATGTAATGCTTCTACCTCTCAGTATAGTTTGGTCTCTGTGCATTGGGAGCTGGCCAGTATGATCTTAGGATCTCGAAGATGTAGAATAATCTACCAGAAGAGATTTACTTCAGTCCGAGCCTCATATTTTCTTTATAATAGTGTGCTTTGCCGGTATTGTGGTTCTGTCTTTGCGGCTGCATCAGAATAAAAAAGACGGGTGACAGATTCCACAAAAAAATTTAATTTGACGGTCAGTCCAACCAATCAGGGAAGACATTAGTGAGATGCAATTTGATCCGAGACTGTCAAAATTCTCAGAATATCATTGATATTTTGAATAAAATAGTGAAAAAGTAATTGTATTATAAATAAGGGTACTTTTAGTATGTAGTCAAAATCACGAAAGATGACTATTACGTCATACCACAAATTGACTGAAGTAATCAATGGACGTACGTCTATGATAAAATCATGATATCATTAATTTATATTATGATTTTGTGAAGCTAGTTTATTTCACTCATTATTTTTATTCCATGGTTTACAGTGATACCTTAATAATAATTTTAGTGGGAAGTTTTTGTTTTGAAAAAAGTTATGAGTAGAATACATCTCAAGACATTAACACCAAAGACCAAAGTATTATTCGAAAACAACGTAACCTGCTTTAACATAACCTAACTACCCAACTAGCAAAGTAGTGCTATAAACTTTTGGTAAAAGAACCGTTTATCCATAAAAGCTCTCTATTGTTGGTGCCTGAACACCAAAATGCTGGCTTAATGTTGTGTGGAATGCAAATTTGCTTTCTGCAACATATTTGCTCTAAAATGAGGTGTTTAAAATATTCTTATAGCATAGTTATACAACAGCTTATAGGACAAATTTTTAACTGTTAACTGCATAAAGGTTTATAAAACTATTTTATACGGCATATTTGCACGTTAGTCAAGATGGTTCTGTTGTGACATTCATGGTAACGTTTATAAAACAAACCCGAGCCTTGTTGTTTTGCTGTGCAAATTTACTACTTTAGCCAACAAATTGCTCCCAACGGAAGCACTTATACAACTGTTGTTTAGTAACTGTTAAAGGCTGTACCTGTGCTAAATATCTTGGTATACAACTTCACCATAACCTAACTTTCTGCTGTCAAATTTTTGTTAAAATACCAGTGTTTTAAGACCAACAACGCATGCATATTGGTTCAGAAGGTTTTATCAACTGTTCAAACAGAAGATATAGATCTGGTACAAATTCTGGGTAAATCATTCGACTCTGTCGGTATTTCATTTCAGATATTTGTCAAATTGTTGAATAACACCTGCAGGCAACACCAAAATATTCTAATAAACTAAAGACAACATGGACGATGCCATGATTATACACAACCACCCGCCATATTGGGCAAACAACTTATTCTTCTATTTAATATTAAATAATTATGTTACGCTTCGAAATTACAGATATAAAGTTATACGCATCAGTGTAATTGTGTCCAAATATAGCATTTCTGGAAGACTTAACGCAGATAAGTTCAGTTTTCCATCTTAAAAATCCAAACATACTTTTGATCATTATCAAAATATGATTCAAATACGAAGCCCGTAGAAAATGCATAACTACTTTGCACGATAATCACAATAAAAGTTGCTGCGCAAGTAATTCAATAGCCCTATATCACAGTGCAGAAGTTTATCATATACCTGTGTATCAAATTCACAATGGCCGATATGTAAGTAAACAAGATGACTGTAATGTGTTAGTTATATATTCTTCACTTCGTCTATACAATACATAAGAAATAGTTTGGTTGCAATAAAGTAGAATCACGTAACGGAATAGTTGTATAGTTGACAAAAACTGAATCTTGCACTGACGCAAATGTCCTATAGCGGCTGCAAGAGGCTGACACTTACACTTTTGTTGTATATCTGTTACCTGCAGCCCTTATACAACCTCTTAAATGATTGAAGTGTCCTATTAGGTGTGCCCATTTCGCTTGTATAGCTGTTCTAAGAGGGTGTAAGGAATACTGTATAATCATTCTTGCAACTCTAATAGGAGTGATAATTGTTAGTTGGGTATTCATCTTTCAAATATGATCGATCAAGCAACATGAAAACATCTTTGTCGGATACATGCAAATTAGCAATACAGTTGGTTTTGATAATAAAATTCTGTTTGTCTCTGTCTAACATATTTGAAACTTTATTAAAAATATTCACAAATGGCTGTCATTTGTCTTTACTACAGACTAAAATCGTCATCTTTCGTGATTTCGACTATAAAAATCAGGGTAATTTCTACAGAATTTGCTGTTTCGAATTTACAAATTTTGTCATCTCATACTTTGACAATATTTTGTTTTCAATACTTACTGCCATCGGTTGCAAAAAATTTGACTGGTACCCTATTGGTGAAAAATAACAAACCATTATAATAAGAGTGCTTTATCGAGGTCGAGCCGGAAATTAGTGCAAAGTTAGATGACAAACCACCTTAAGCAAAGAGGAGCAAAAAACACACAGGAAATGTGTGGGACACCAAGGCACAGACGGAACATTCTCATATCCCATATCGCCCATCGATCTAAAAAAATCCCTCGGTTAGAGTCATAGAGCACTCCGGCAAACCAAGACTGCGCCGGTATCCATTATTATTATCCTGTGTGCCCATCATTTTCCTCGTTGTAAAAAATCGCCGTACCGCAAGTTTGTATCTGCCTACGCCAGGCTCCGAAGCGCCTTTCTCAGTTCGCTACGTCTTCCTCCTTCCTTTTTTTATCTGTTCACTGCCTTATCTCGCGTTCCGTAATCTCTTGATCTCGGATGGATGGTACTTACGATCACGTTGCTGATCAGAGCAGAATCTGCAAGATTTTAGATTTGAGGGTACACCAACATCCGAATACCGTTTTTAAATAACGATACTAGTACTCATCAGAATGAACATTTAGTAGGGATATAAATATTAATCGCACAAACGCAATTGGAAACATTAGTAAACGTCATTGCATATTACTTCAACTGTCAAATGATGGGCTATCCAATATCAAAGTTGTTGTTGTTGAACATTTATTTAGCATTAATGCTACAATGTCAATTTTGTATAATGATTCGGTTACATATTTTTCTTCAATCCATTTTATATAATTTTACATTCTTGTCTATTAAAATTAAAATTACGTCACTATGTATTTTGATTATTCATAAAGTGATTTTTTAATTTCACCTTAAACGTTTTTAAATTCGAACTCTGTTTAATATCATTATTCAATTTATCAAATTCAAATACTCCATTTTGAAATATAGATTTACTAGTTATGCTACTATTACAATTATTTTGCTGATGAAAATCTATACTGCCTCTAGTTTCGTAGTTATGATGATGACTATTTAATTTTGTGAAGTTCTCTAAATGTGGTGGTAATAAATGATTTTTTAATTTGTATATAATAACCTGAATTAAATAATATATGAAATTTTTCACATTCAACTGCAGTTCTCTAACATAGACTCAATCCTATTATATTTGTAATTATGAAAATGTGTTCTCATTTGCTGTAAACAAGATGGTTGAACAATATAAAAAATGGGGAACAATTATAGTGTTATAAACAATTTTCTTGGAATACATACTAAGATTATGGGAAACTCTATAGAAGTAATTTATTTTTTTCGATATTTTTGAAATAATTATAATGTGAAGCAGTAGCTTACCATCCACATCTATACCAAGATATTTAAATGACTCGACTACTTCAATTTTTTCATCATTAATCATGAGCCTAATTGGATTGTCACCTAAATGTTTCCCTACTGACATACATTTTGTTTTATTAGAGTTTAATTTAAGTTTATTGACATTTAAGCAATTCATAATTTTTTCAATATTACTATTTAACAGTTCTAAAGCAGTGCCCAAATGCTCATGTGCTATATCTATAAGTGTAAAGTCCGCAAATATTTGAATTTTGCAGTGTTCTAAAATGTCAGAGATATCATTTAGATAAATAATAACTCCCCTGTGGCACCCCTACTGATATATTTTGAACACTTGACATAATATTTCCAACTTTAGTTTTTTTACTTCTATTTACTAAATAATTTTTAAATTGTGTAATACTGATCCTTTAAAGTCATAGTGACGCAATTTCATTGACAATTTTTCCCTATCAATAGTCTCAAATGCTCTTTTGAAGTCTAAAAATAATGTTACAATATATTCTTTCTCATCTATACTTCTTCTCCAGTCTTCCACCACCATTTGGATTGCCGTTTCTGTGGAACATTTTTTTCCAAATCCAGCTTGAATTTTTATCAAAATTTTGGTTTCTTCAATGAATTCTATGATTTGTTCGTATATTATCCCTTCGAACAGCTTCTCGACATCGGGCAAGACATTAATCGGTCGCATATTTGTATACAGCTGAGAATTTTGAAGTTTTGGCACAGGAGTAATGCTGGAATACTTTAATTTTGATGGGAATTCACCATGTACTAAATAATGATTCACCAGTAATAATAATGTCTCTCCAATTTTACTGAAACAATCATTTAGAATATACAGGGTGACTTCGAAGTTGAGTCATTTATTTTAACAGTGAGTAGATCTGATCAAAAGAAATGTTTTTTTCCTTTACCATTTTTCTGGTAAAATTAAAGTAACAAAGTTATAGCCCTTTGGAAGTTTGAGTACTGCCCTGTCTCAATAATAATATGTTCGTGTTTGGCGACAACGGATATAATCCGCCTGACCGGTTCATCGCATCGGAAACAAAAAAGCGAAAGAATTTGAAACGTTTATCACGATGTTTTTCGTCAGTCGATAACGCGTTAGTGAATAGTAGGTAGTGTTTGTTGCGTGGCTCAAACGAAATCAAAAATAGCACATGTTTACGAAAATGCTGAACTTGTGGACATGATTCTTATTTCCGGGGGGCAGTCTTTACAAAATGCTCCCGGATGCATCACGGATTTATGCGAATCGGTTTCCCAATCGAGTGCAATCAACCCCTCGTGCCTTTGTTAATGTAGTACAAAGGGCTCGTGAATCAGGTGACTTAAGAGCTCACAGGTCAGGGCATGCTGCTCCAAGACCGCACGATCGAATACAGGTCCGCACTGAAATACTTGTCGGGACGATACTTTATTAAACAAGGTAACATTTTCTTTTATTTATTTTTTTATTTTTACACACATATTTTGGTTTGTCTTCCTTCTACAATCATTATCTGAAAATAAATGACTCAACTTCAAAGTGGAGTGAAACAGTTCAAACAGAGATAAGGCTATCAAATCAGTAAATGTCTAGCTCACCTCAGAGTTCAAAAAGGACAGCTGGGCTAACCTTGATCAGAATATAAACTAATAAATAGTAGTTTGAAAAAACTATAAAAACTCGCTTTTACAGCTGACCGTACTAAAAAGTAGAAAATTACTTTTAATTACAAAGAGTTTATATTACAGTAGTAGATGGTCGAATAATCAATCATAATTAATGTTATTAACAGAATAACGCAATTCAGAGTGAAAAGCGTGGGGTGCTTGATATATTAAATCATTCTTTGAGAGGAGAGTTATGAAACTATAGTAAAATGCACCACACTTTGATTGCTTATTTTATGCTTTTCAATTATTAGAATATTTTCTCTATAAAGTGGCTTCATACTTTTTCTACCGTTTTAAGTAAATTGCCTCACGTAATTAATGGACGCCCCCATATCGTCAAGCAATAAATGTTTCCCCGGTACTGCTTCATATTTTCTAGCGATGCTGAAGCTTTTGTGTGATTTGATATCAATCCAAAGCTCATGAACATATTTCCATTCAGCTGTGAATGAAATACATTTTGACCAATTTTTCTGGAAAGTATTTTTCATATTCTATTGATTATTATCAGATTTACTATTGACATCAATAAAAACTTAACATTAGGACGTCAAGCTGTGTTAAGTATCGTAGTACATCACCTAGTTGGTGATTATCCATTGATGAGAAGTTATTCTGAAATATCAAAGCACACCACCTTTGCTTTTTTATTGCATAAACGTGAGAAACTAAATGAACACTACCGGGTATCACTAACGATATTATATTCGTGAGAAAATCGAAAGTGTAGGTATATCGAATATCGGAAATCGTTTTTTATTTACAATCAATTCACAATATGATTATTTGTTTAAATAATCGAATTATTATGAGATGTGTGAATGAAATTATCCACGAAGTCAAACGCAATGCTTGGATGGTCATACATTTAGATGTTCTCATATCACGAGGATCCGTCGTCTATAATTATATGAAAAAATCAAAGATTGTATGGAGATGAAGTTCGGATAGGATAGGGATGCAGCTTTATGCATAATATTATATCTGTTTCATATCCGGTTACGGATATGAGATTATTTCGAGCCATCCGTTAGTTTCAAATGTTTGCTTTCCGCCTATGCGACCATAACCAACCGTTGTTGTATGCTGTTTAGCAATCATCAGTAGTATGTCACACGGGGGTACTAAGTTCTTACTGTGGTACCAGCATTGACGTTCTATGCAAAAGTAGCATAATCCAAACACAGTCTCAATATGACTATCACCAATTATACAGGGTATTGCTTAATGATATGCGAATATTTGTGGGTGTGAATCTACATGACAAATTAATGTTAGTTTGCTTTATAAACTATGGTCAAAAAATGTTTCCTTACAAAAACTCGGGGTGTTGAAGTTTTAGGGGAAAAATGGAAATTAATTAATATTTGAGAACCGCTTCAGATATTTCACTGATATTTAGTACGTAGTGAAAGTTAATAAAGTTGCATATTTTTCAATGCAAAAATAATTTTTAGCTTTAACAGTGGCGTGCGTACGGGTATTGACTTCGATATTTTTTGAAAAAAAATGGAACGCCAATGGTTTTTTACCAAACAAAAATTATTTTTCAATTCCCCGTTCAATTTGAAACAAATGATCTCTCTTGAATTGTTTTTATTTGTTGCGCCATTTTTGAGTAAAAAAATAAAAACCGTTCTATTGTCCGAGAAAATTAATGTGTTAGCAATAAATATCTAGTTGCTCTGGAATATATCACTGGCTTTTGACATCTGACAGGTCTCTGTTATTCAAATCTGTTCGCTGTGACATCTTTTTCGTTATTTATTTTTAACAATCTTGTTAATAATGGTGAATGGTAAATATTCGCATATCATTAAGGAACACCCTGTATACTCGTATATAGCAAGGTGATAAACGCTATCTTTGCTTTCGGGGATATCCCTAACAGGGGATTTAAATTGTGACAGAGGCGAACCTGATTAGATTCTCGTTTTTAACCAAGGAGCTATAAATTCAGTTCATGATCAAACAGAACGAATCTATCTAAAGCCAGGCGACGTGGCCCGCCGTCTCGTCGTGGTCAGGTCATACTGAAGACTATTGGCTCGGCCTCCATCAAAGGTACTACTCGGTTGCAGCTAGCGCCATCTCCCTTATATTGAGTCCTGCAGGGGCAGGGTAATAGAAGGGCGGGCGTCACCGTCAAGGTCATCCTAGGCTTCCAGAGCGAACTCGCAGGTTAGGTTTCCGGGATTATTACTGATTGTTGGTACTTTTGTTTAGTGCTGAGATTTATAGCCCAGATGGTGATTGGCAGATGTACTTTTAAGCTCTAATGTTAATATTATATGATTTAGAGCCGATTTCAGCAAGATTTGAATTTGACCTAGGCTTCCACCAATAGTTTGCAAATATTTTATAGGATAAACTATAAGCACATGGTAGGTGATGTTAGGTTAGTATAATCATATATGGAATACAAACGATTGAAATAAACATTTAGAAACCTTCAGCTAAACTGAAAAAAATTGGATTTTACTCAGACATCAAGCATTTTTTTTTAATTTGGCTCAATTTTATATAATTCCATAATATATAATAAACCGATAACATTCCAATCACTTCATATTTTTACAGTGTTTTGTTTTGAACACCTCGATACTATTTGCTGCCAAAAATCTGACCGTGAGATCTTAAGGTCCATTGGCCATATTTGACGCTCTGTTTGGTACTGCTACCCTATTGGTATAAAATAACGCTCTGTTAGATTGACAAACCTTATGAAATCCACCCTTATTATTCCATACTTGTATATGTGGATTTGGAGGAGTTTTTCATTAAAAAGGAGTGTTTGCTTTACTAACAAATAAAACTCTTGGATGAAGGAGTGGAGGGTTGCCTTAAGCCGTCCTCCGCTTGACTCAAGAACGTATAATAAACTGAGCGAACTGATGTGAGGTGAGTATATCCGACATTATGTGTAAATCGAAGGCAACTTACATAGGCCGTGTATAGCCAAGAGCTTAGACAGCTGCAGAGCACCAATAATTCATTTTATTACCAAACATGCTGCTTTTGTCCGTTCGATCATAGACAGCAACCATGAACAGCTGTTTCGTGTTTTTTTGGCAACTCATCAGCCCGATCTAGGCATGATCTCTGGGACATCGGACGAAAGCAAACATCCTTTATTCGAGGTATGAAATCTGTCGACATAAGACCAGAATCGACCACTGCGAGAATCGTCGGCTTCTAGCAGTCACAGTGGTAGCTGGCCAGTCAAACGCGAACTGAGATCTTTACAGTTTCAACCTATAGCTGCTAATAGATGGCGCTTTGTGCTTTCTTAGATCTCAAACCTCGGATAGACGACAGTTGCTATGCTTTCGTTCGTTGTCACGGAGTCACGGAGACGAAGCCTAGACCATGTTGACGAGTTGCCAAAAAGTGCGAAACACCTGTTCATGGCTATCTGTGGCCGGACGGATATTGATCAATGACGAGTAAGCTGCATCTACCATACCACCAGAACTGTCGGCCTCTAGAGGTCACGGTGGTGACTGAGATCGTTACAGTTCCGGCGATAGATGTTATACACTCTCCCAATGGTCGATTCTGGTAACAGGTGGCGCTTTGTGTCATCTTATTTCGATAGAATTCTTATTGCTTTGTGCGTGAATGCTCCTCCGTGTACTATGCGCCGTATTGGCGCTTGACTGGCTATTGTGTAAACATTACAACTGTTTCTGTCAGTCATTGGCTATGTTTACACTGTATGATCACGCATACCACACGATGTAAACGGGCACAGAACAGTATTTGCGCGCAGAAATATGGAGCTCTATGGATGTCTAGGCGCTTAGCTACCTACGGTGTTAACATAGCCAAGGCAGCCCTATTTTACAAACAGATCTTCTGCCCAATAGGCTTACACCGATTTTTTCGAAGCGTTCAAAAACTACGACGAAGCGGGGAATCCGAGAAGGATCAACTGTTTAAAGTACCTGATCTTGACCAGCATGTTGTTGCAGTCCGCTATCAATCCATTTGATTCGCAAGAAGCAAAACCCTACAAGAACGACGAGGAGATCAAGGCGATGACAGATCTCATTTCCGCATTTCAAAATAACAACATGAAGGATTTCGAACGAATATTCCAGGTTCGTAAGAAAACTGCTAAAAATAAAATATTTTCTTTGCTTTAACTATACATACAAAAAAGATTGGTGATATATATGTCACTGTATAGGGTGTCCCATCCAGCGTTAGATTAGTACAAAAACTTGAAGATTATGATAATTCGTGTTTATGGAGCAACTAATGGGAGCAATTCGGCTGAAGTATTTCCAAAATGAAAGGCGCCCGACTGAATATTCAATTTTTGAACTCGATGCCTTTACAGTTCATGTATATCATTCTACACTATAAAAATTACAAATGCTAATAACTAATATTATTCTCGTATTTTTGTTTTATTTGTAGAGTTTATTTGTTCCTGCGAACACTTTCAATTGAATCCCAAAAAACACGTTTTCTCATTCTTTGTTGTCGAATAAAACGTTTTCCCATGTCTATGTTTTAAATACCCCCATTGAACTTTACAATTATTTTGGGGAAATTTGCTATTATAATTAGACTAGTATACAACATTGTTTTCAATACTTAATATGACACAATTATAAAAAGGTGATTTTCATTTAGAATAATTGACATTTTGAGTTTTTTCCATCTAATTTTAATTTTTCTACCACCCTGTACAGGTTGTTATCCGAATCTGGAATAAAGGAAAAAAATGTTATTAAAATTTCAGATGTCTCAAAAACGGTTACAAAATTTGGTGTAAAACAATCCCATATTTCTTGACGCTTTTGTCTCAGTTCGGTCATTGTACGAGCAGGATATTGTCGTAGAACCTTTTTCATCTCGTGCCACAAAGTTTCAATAGTTGACAGATCTGGACTGCTAGAAACCCATTTCAAAAGTGGTACACTATTTTCTTCCATCCATTTTATAGCCTTTTTGGTATGGCACGCTGCACCATCTTGCTGAAACACAAAATCTTGGCCGGATGTCAAACATTCTTCCATCACTGGTAAAAGCGATTCTTCTAAAATTGCCAAATATTTGTTTGTATCCACATTTCCATCAATAGAATGAAGTTTTCCTACTCCTTTTGATGACATACTGCCCCAGACCATAATGGATGCTGGAAATTTCACTTTTCTCTTCAGACAGTCAACATGGAATGCTTCATTTTTTTGCGAATAACTCTACTGCGACTGTCACCAACACAAACTTCGAATCGGGCCTCATCACTCCATTGTATTGCACACCATTGTTGAGGTGTCCATTGTCTATGTTCTTTAGCCCATTTAAGCCGATTTTTCTTTTGCAGTGGAGTTAATAGTGCCTTTTCTTTGGCCTATAAGCAAGTTCTGCAACTTTAGGGTTTTTACTTCACTTTTTTTTTATAAGAAAACTTACCTTGCAAGTGCTAAATCCCAGTAAGTGGGCCTGGCCTCTCTATGAGTTGTGGACCTCGAAATTCTCCTTCCAACAGCGTCACTCCACAGAGCACTTAATTGTAAATAATTCGCACGCCTGTTTTTCACGATTATTCTTAATGCTTTTCGGTCGGCATTTGTGATATTACTTTTTTTCACATATCGTGGCTTAATATTAACTGAACCAGTTACGTTATATCTTCTAACAATTTTTCTCACACTATACCGCGATAAGTCTAACAAAGTTGCAATTTCTGAGTTTGATTTCCCAGAATTAAAAAATTTAATTATCAGTAACCGAATTTTCTCACTAGTAAGCTTTCCTCTACTCATTTTGAAAACCTTAACTACCCAAAACTATTATAAACGTATTCTGACAGCTGCGATTAATAAAAACAATTGTCATGGCTTTTATTTTTCACAGCCACCTATGCGTTATAGACTTATTTTGCATTGAAATGAAAATAGGTTGATATGCTGTAATTGCAACATGTGTTATTTTTATGCTGCAAATTTGATTAGGGAGTGATAAAGTTGGTGTTTTCTACTATATATTATCAACATATTCATTGTTAATATTTTAAACCTATAACACCCTGCTACATTTTTATGATTTGTGTTTGATAAGAAAAAAACTAAGATTTCAATAGTTGGGCCAACTGAAGTGAGAAGGGGCTCGTACATGTGTACATAAATATAGAATCCAAAAATTGAATAATATACATTGAAAATAGGCAAGTTGGAATCTACTTCCGGTGCAAGCGGAAGTGCCACAACTTTAAAAAGATTTTAGCCGAATTGATCCCATTAGTGACACTATAGCATTCATTTTGGTTATTTTTTAACGCAAATTCAGATTATACATCTGATTAGAAGTAAAGATAGAGGTATATTTATTGATTTTTTTTTTATATTTCCAAAGATGATAATTACTTTAAACGTTTCCGTTTTTGACGTCACAAAATTTATTAGAAATTACTTCCAGGAAAACAAAGAATCTCTGATGGCAGATCACTTTGTTCATGAGCACATTGCGGCGTTATTGAAGCACGTGAGGACTAAAGTTTTGTTGATTTTGGTACAACCATACAAAAACGTCCGATTGAGTTTCATCAGTAAAGAACTGGGGATATCCCTGGAAGATGTTGAGTCTCTATTGGTATCCTGCATTCTTGACGGGCAGATAGAAGGCAGAATAGATCAGGTAGAGTATAAATAGGACGCTTTTACTGCCCGTTATGTTTTATAAATTGTTGATTCAAGGCATAAAAATCAATTGACGTGAAGTTAAAACGCACTCTATAGATTGCTAATATTCAAGCATCCAATCGGACTGAAGCATTTTTATATTTCATTTAATTGTTTTTTGTAGGTCAATAAAGTCATGATAACCAAAAAAACTTCATGCGATGACAAGTATGTTGCGATGGATGGACTGATGGAACAAATTAAGAAGTTATCATTAACTATTGGCGTTTAAAATGACTATGTTCTGTGACTATATTTTTCTAAATATAATGTTTCAATAAAGTTGAATTGAATAAAGGAAGAATCCACATTGTTAACACTCTCATACCTTTTTACTTTCCACGCCACTGGCGAAGAAGTCTTGTAAAATGTCGTCCTCCACTTTAAACACAAGCTTCATTACGACGAACCCAGTTTCTTCTTACTCTAGGTCCTAGAAGTTGTCCATTTATTATTTCAGCCGCATTAAATTTTTGTTCGAGAAGTTGTGCTTCAGTTATTATTGGACCAGCCCCATTAACCATCGCTTTAAATTCTCAGGAGCATTTCGGCCGATCCAGCGATTTGGATAATGTTCATTCAAATACTGAATGACGCCTCTAAAAATGTGTGGTGGTGCCCCGTCATGAAGAAACCACAAATTCTGTCTTCGTTGTAATGACACGTTGTCTAAGGTCTGTTCCAAAAGTTCTGGTGCGTTATTGACTAGAAAGCTAAGGTATCATTCTCCTGACAACTTTGGGGGTAACTCGAAAGGGCCAATTACCTGATCTTCAAGAATACCCGCCCAAATATTTATTTTAAAACGTTGTTGGAAATGACCTTCACGAATGGTATGAGGATTTTCTTGGGCTAACGTGTGTGTATTATGGCCTAATTCCCGAGTGCTGATATCTGCATTGATTTCCACGATATTTATAATTTGTTCCTCCTGCTCTACAGTAACCTGTGTTTCACGAGTGCGAATATTAGTAGGCTGAACACTTCCTGTATCTCGATAAGTCTTTGGTACACTTGCACAAATGTCCTTCTGTCTGGGTGTACCCGTTGGCGAAATCTGTCGCGATATATTTGAGCTGCAAGATTTGAATTCTGACGAGCTTGACCATAAACTAACAACATGTCAGCGAACTCCTGCTTCGAGAACATTGTAAATAAACACGACGAGGTACGCGAACAAAAACAGAACAACACGCCCGATGCTCTTCAAAACGATAAAGTAATTTATCTATGCAAAACGATAACTAACCACTCTTACCGGTTGCGATCGATTGCCTGTTCGATAAGAGTGACGAAAGACCGACGCGCTGTTGTCATGTGTGTTTAAATATTTAATTTAATGAAACTTACTTACTTACTGACTACAAGTTTTGGCTTAACTTAGAAAAACTTAATGCCATTTATTTGTTAATAACCCAACTGAAAAACGTTTTAGATATGATTATAAAAATTAGTAAGATTGTGGTCTATATAAAGCACTTAAAGATGTAAACTATAAAGCCATTTAGACAAAAATCTATTGACTTTTGAATCATGGGTCATATGAACTTTTTCACTTGCTTTGACTCCCCCTATTACCCCTTTCAATAATGACTACCATAACGTTTGCACCCCCTATTTTTGTCTATCGGTCTACCCGCGAATCGTTGGCCCGTCTACAACTTGGAAAGTACCGCTCGGATTTTGATGAAATTTCCACATAGGGTTTCTACTACGTCAAGGATGATAAAACTCGGTTTTTAAAAATTGGTCCAGTGACAGCGGAGCTATAGCAAAAAAAGATAATAGTTGGCTAAAACTTCATTTTTTGTTGTTTTAGAAGCTCCTTATCATTTTCAGAAAAAGTTTCAATTGCGAGAAATCTACATACATGTACCTCTTAGTAAATATTATTCCATACATCACAGATTTCTACGTACATTTGCCCTTAAGAAGGAATTTTCAGATCGCACCGTTATAAAATGGGGAGCGACTATAGACTGATTATATAGGCTCGTTTCGCTCACATGATCTACATTTTTATGTAGTAAAAGTTTTTAAATTCATATACAGGGTGTTCCTTAATGATATGCGAATATTTAAGGGTGTGAATCTACATGAAAAATTAATGTTACTTTGCTCTATAAACTATGGTCCAAAAATGTTTCCTTACAAAAACTCGGGGTGTTGAAGTTTTAGGAGAAAAATGGAAATTAATCAATATTTACAGAACCGATTCAGATATTTCACTGATATTTAGTACGTAGTGAGAGTTAATAAAGTTCCATATTTTTCAATGCAAAAATAATTTTTAGCTTTAACAGTGGAGTGCGTACGGGTATTGACTTCGATATTTTTTAAGAAAAATTTTGCCAAATAAATATTATTTTTGAATTTCCCGTTCAATTTAAAACAAATGTCCTCTCTTGAATTGTTTTCCTTCGATGCGCCATTTTTGAGTAAAAAAATGTAATGTGTTTGATTTTTCCAATTAAATTAATAATAATTTTGCAAGTTAGACAATAGAACGGTTTTTATTTTTTTACTCAAAAATGACGCATCGAAGGAAAACAATTCAAGGGAGATCATTTGTTTCAAGTAGAACGGGGAATATCATAAATAGTTTTTATTTGGCAAAAAACCATTGGCGTACCATTTTTTCTTAAAAAATATCAAAGTGGATACCCGTACGCACGCCATTGTTAAGGCTAAAAATTATTTTTGCATTGAAAAATTTCAAACTTTATTAACTTTCACTACGTACTAAATATCAGTGAAATATCTGAAGCGATTCTGAAAATATTAATTAATCTCCATTTTATTCCTAAAACATCAACATCCCGAGTTTTTGTAAGGAAACATTTTTGTACCATGCTTTATAAAGCCAACTAACATTAATTTTTCATGTAGATTCACACCCTTAAGTATTCGCATGTCATTAAGGAACACCCTATACTTTTGACTCGCTTTATCCGTAGAACATGTAGGTCGAATTTCACCTTTACTATGAAAATTAGATAGACTTTTATTCATCTTTTGTTTGTATTAACACAACCTTCAAAACTGTGCGTGAACTTTGTATGCCTGCATCCAAACGGAGTTTTTTGGAAGTCTGTAGAACAAATTTCTGGAAACGTATATACAAGGTTGTCCAGGATAAGGATCCTATTCATGAGGTTCTCACTACAGCTTAGGTTAAATTTGGAAAAAGCTGGGTTCTTTGGAACGTATTTAGGTACATGCCGTTGAGAAACTTGTAGAAGTTTCATGGCTTAGGTACTGAGGTTTTTAGAAAAACTAAAATTTTCCCAAATTGTTTTTATTTCTTTTTCTGACTTTATTTTAAGAAATATCAAAAAACTAATGCAACATTTTCATTGGCACATTTAAGGCAGCACTTGATAGCGCCTTAAAATTTTGTGCCCGACCTTTCGTTTTTGACAAACCATCATCAACATCATTTTTTTATATGGTCCGAAAAAAGTATCTGATAGCATCTTTATCTACGAATTCAACGACGCATCAAATGTTACATTTATTTTCTTATAAAGAAAGATGTGATTTTTTATTGTATTTTTTTTATTTTATTTAAGTAGGGCTTGCAAACAAATGCTTGATCCAACATTATGTGATCACTGATAGATGAACATTACAAAACAGTAACAATACATGCACATTATGACGTCTTAAAATTTTATAAAAATGCACAATCTAGTGATATTCAGAATAACGAATACATCTTTAACATTATTTTTATTTTAGTCACAATAGGTGCTCAAATAGGTCACCATTATTTTCTAAACATAAACATGATCTAACAATAAAATTCAAAACATTTCTCGTGTAATCATACTAAATGCTTCTATTGTACATTCTCGTAACTGCTGCTCAGTTTCAAAAGTATGCCGATAAACTCGATTTTTAAAAAAACTTCAAACAAAAAATTCAAGAGGTGCAGGCCAGGACACTTCAGTGAAGGTTCCAATCCGCCTACAGGTAAATTGCTGAGAAAGATACTCTCGAACTTGCATAGAGTTATGTGCAAGATCACCGACTTTTTGAAACCAACAGCAGGTAATACGTTGTAGTAAATAGATGGACCTAATATTTTGGTCCCTCGGATTCCATACCACATATGGTATTAAACCCAAAACGATCTTGATATCTGGATATCTTTTTAGCCAGCAGATTTTCTCTCATTAGTGACCATACTCTCGTCGGACCATATCATTTTTGAAGAAAATTAAAATAGTACTACTCTTCACGCGTTCCTGTATACCTCGCACAAAAATGCTGGCGCCGTTCGCTATCCGCTGGTCCTTAGCAAATCCTGAATATATACGGGTGAGATCTACATATTTTTACCCTAAATAAATTGGGATGTGGAGGCTACTCCTATATTTTTCTCATTAAAACCCTATTCTGAGATTCCTATTTTCGAGACGTAACCATATTTATTGAAATCTCGGGCGAACTCTATGAAAATGGACTTAATTTGACTGCCTTCTTTCGGAAAATTCCCAAGGTACATTTCGGTAGTATTTTTAGTCTTTTTATTTATTAGTATTTACATGATAGCCTGGCATATTTGACGACAATAGAACAATATTAACAATACACGATAATAACAATACTAGGTGACAGGTATTTACATCAAGTCAAGCATTTGTTTGCAAGGCCTACTTAAAAAAAATCAGAAAATACTCGTTTTTCCTTATAACCAAGAAAATAAATGTAACATGTGATACATCGAAAAATGGTATACATGGTGGACCATATAAAAAAACTAAACTTAGTGATGATTTCTCGAAAACGGACTGTCGGGTAAAAAATTTAAAAACACCATCATGCTGTGCCTAAAAAGTGCCAATGGCATTTCTTGAAATAATGTCGCAAAAAATAAAAATGGTTTGGACAAATTTTAGTTTCTCCAAAATATCTATATAAATTTTTAGTTTCTCATCGATATGTAAAAACGCCCCAAAGAACGCAAGTTCCTGTTCTAATTTAACCTAAGTGGTATTGAAATCACCATGCAAATGATCCTTGTCTTGAGCACCCTATATATGTTAATGCGTAGCAAGTAACTAAACACCTATTCGAACCAATTTTTTCCGGAAAGTATCTCAAAAAGCACTTATAAACTTTCTTCAGCGCGTCTTCGTATCTCACTCGTGTTTTTCTGAATGATTTCAGTTCCGGATTTTAAGCAAAACAGGTTCACGGCCGAACCACTGCTGCGCTGGATGTGAATATGTAGGTAATTTTATTCATATACACATCATTGACGTGCATTTCACTGCGCGATTTCTTCCTGGCCAGTACATCGGCGAATGGCTG